GATGCTTTGGAAAGTTGAGGTTACAAGCTTTGTAATGGAAAAATAATGGAATCAAATGGATGCTTGAGATGAAAGGTGCATTGAGTCAAAGTTGAAGAAAAAGAGTTGACTTTCCATACTTAGAAATATTTCAAATTCTTCTTTAAAAAATGACCTATAATATTTTGTATCCAAACATGGCCTTCCACTTAGAATTTGCTCTTGACCAAAAAAGATGGAATAAATTAGATCTCTTTAATGACATTTTGCAATTAGAACCACTGAAAATCTCCAAAAATTGAGCAAGTTATGACTTGTTGAAGTTGGCCAAAAATCATGAAATGACCTATAATCTTTTGCATTCTTAAGGAAACTTCCATCCATTTTATTACTTTGGACATAAAAGAAGGCATGAAGTACACATCCTTAAGATAATCATGGAAACAGAATGGGCTCAAGGTGATACAAATTGACCAAGTTATGACCATTTGAAGTCACATATGGAAAATTGGGGATTCATCTGGATGACTTGTAATCTTTCTTCTTCACCAAGTTCCTTCCACATGAAAACTCCTTGGAACTTTTGAAGTGATTTGTTGGTAACTCTTTGAAGAGAAAGATGTCCTTAGAATCACTCAAAAATACCAAAAGATGAGCAAGACATGCTCCTTTGAAGTTCAAAACCCTAGCCTCTAGATCAAGAGAATGCTTTGAGGAACTTTGACAAGTTTGAACAAACTTCTTGTGCCAATATTCTTCCTTTTGTAATAGAAGTTGTTGAGGATGATGATGAGGACTCATAGCCACCAAAACCACTTCCATATCTTGAAATTAGAGAGAAATATGCTCTTGTGACCAATAGGAACAAGACCTTGTCCAATCATGACAACTTCTTCCCTTAACCCTTTGTATTTTTGAATCAATTGATAACTTTGGAATATGTTGAACCAAAGTAAGCCTTGTCATGCCATTTCTTACAAAATCACTCCAATAGTGAAGTTTGAATTCCTCAAGCTATGTTGACTAGGGCATGGAAATAAACTCATGAGCCCATGGAGCAACTAGCTAAACCTCATTGCCTTTACCTACATTATTAACAAGTAAGACAAACCAATATTGCATTTTATTAATTAGAGAGAAAATCAAATCAAAATATTCATGATCACAAAAGAAAACAAGCCAAGGTGCTTGGTAACTCTTCAAAAGAGCAAGGCTAAAGATAAGGAGAAGAACCAAAAGCCCTGATGTGATCTTGTTGTGATTGAATCAACATGGTATGATGAGGGAATCTTAGGGGGGGAAATTGGGGTACAACATATGGTATTTGATTACATACCCCATGGTCACAATTTTGTTGCTATAACACCCAACATCCACCTTCGCAATGCAAACATTCGATAACGACTCTTTCTCAACAACAAAGAGCTTTTGACTCTTAATTACCCAAACAATAGGATTTGCCATGTTAAAATCTTCAACATGGTCCAATGCACCACTAACCATATCTAATGGAGAAACAGAACCCTTGTTGAACACATAATTGTTCCTACATTTCCATATTTTCCATAAAATTGTATAGACTAGCTGAATATCAAGAGTATCTTTAACACTCAAACCTTCTTGAAGCCAAGCTATGGGATCAGCATTTGGAATAATTCTGATCCCAAGGGAAAAGAAAACCATATCATCTTAGCAAATGAGCAGTGTAGAAACAAGTGATCAAGAGTTTCTGGGTGATCATAACAAAGGGGGAAAGATGGGTCAAGATGAATACCTTTCTTCGCAAGATTGGACTTGGTTGGCAAAATGTTCCGCCTAAATCTCCACAGCAAATTTTTGATACGTACATGGACCAGTGATATCCATAGAACTTTCCACAGTGGAGCAAACGACAGGATAAAAGGTCCCTCTTTTGAATCTTCTCTCTTTGCACCCAAGCAGTGATATGCCAATCTCACAAAATACACACCTTTCTTATCCTAATGCCAAATAAGCTTATCTTCCAATCCTACTTCTAGAAAGAGCAATATTGGCAATCTGAAGGATATCACATGGTTCAAAACAATCATTCAAAATATTCTAATTCCAACAACATAGATATTGATCAATCAATTCCTTGAATAAAGCATCCGGCTGCAAACCACAAATATCACTAGACACTTTGAAACCAGGGTTATCGGGGAGCCAATTATCCTTCCAAACACAAACTTTAGAATCATTACCAATCCTCTATCTAGTACCTGAAAAAACCAAATATCTCGACCCCATAATGCTTCTCCAAACATAGCTAGAGGAGAATACTATATTTACTTCTTGGATAGAACATCTAAGGAAATATTTACTTTTAAGGACCTCCCCAAATAAAGAGCTTTCACCATGCATAATTCTCCAAAAGTATTTTCCAAGAAGCCTTAAGTTAAAATATAAGATTCCCCTAAAGCCCATACCACCTTTTCCTTTCGCAACTAACAACTTCTCCCATATCATCCAATGAAGCTTGCATTCACCCTCTCTAGATCCCTGCCATAATTTGGCCATGAGAGACTCAATTTCATTGTAGATCCCCTCTGGAAGTTTGAAGAAACTCATCACATATGTTGGGATTGCCTGAGCTATAACATTAGTTAGAATCTCCTTACCAGCTCTAGATAAGAATCATTCCTTCAAACCTTTCAACTTCTTCCACACACGTTCAACCACAAGCGAAAAGACCTTTTTTTATCTCTTATAAAGGACCGGAAGCCCCAGATACTTTGAGTGAGATTGAACCATCTTTACCCTCATCTTGTTACATATCTTTTCTTTGATATCTTCTCGCACATTTTGACAAAAAGAGGCCTCTAACTTCTCGAGGTTGATCATCTGACCCGAAGAAACTTGATACTTGTTCAGAATCTCCATAATTTTATCTGCTTCCACGCAGTTGGCTTTAGCAAATAGAAGACTATCACCAGAAAATAGAAAATGTGATATCTTAAGAGCATACTGATCCACCTGAATACTGTGAATTGAGTTGGCCACAACTTCCTTTCTAAGTAATCCAGACATGACATATGCACACAAAACAAACAAGTAATGGGAGATTAGGTCTCCTTGACGAAGTCCCTTCTCCGGCAAAAATTTCCTATTGGGCTGGCCATTGAGCAAGAACTTATATGAAACAGTAGAGATGCACTTATAGACAAGATTCATAAAACTTTTCTGGAATCCCATGGTCTTCACCACTCCTTCCATAAACCTCCACTCCACTCTATCATATGCCTTTGACAAGTCTAACTTTAGAGCCATGACCCATTTCTTACCTTTCACCTTCTTCTTCAAATGGAAGCATTCCATGGAAATCAACGTGTTATTGGTTATAAGCCCCCCCCCCCCTTAACAAACCCGCTTTGCTCAATGACAATGATGTTCGACATAATTTGTTTGATGCGGTTAGCAATCATCTTTGTCACCAACTTCATGACCACGTTGCAAAGACTTATAGGCTGAAAACCTTTAGGAGTTTTAGGATTTTTCCTTTGGGGATCAGTGTTATGAATGTCTTATTAATCTCAGTCGGGTCCTTCCCATTGTTAAGAACATCCAACACCATTTTCTTGACATATTTACCAATACCATGCCAATACTTCTTGAAGAATAAGGAAAGGAGCCCATCTGGTCCCGAAGACTTCAACGGGTGCATTTGTAAAAGAGCATCATCAACATCCTGCATAGTGAACATGCCTTCACACCACCTCTTACGGTCATCACTAACCTTTCCTCTAACAACCTCACACGTACTTAAAATATTTGATGGGGAAGAGGAAGAGAAAATATCCTCAAAATAAGATAACATAGCTGATTCACAATTCTTCCAACCTCTCTACCACACTCCATTCTCATCACACAACTTACTGATGACATTCGTTTTCCTCCTTTGATCAGCTTTACCATTAAAGAATTTCGTATTACGATCCTCATCTTTTAACCATATAACACGACTATGTTGCCTCCAAATCACCTATTCAGCCTTCAAAAGACTATTTTCCTGGGATTCAAGAGCCTTAAAAGTCTTGATGTCATCTTTAGTAACAACCCAACTAGTTTCATCCTTAAGCTTATCTCCAATTCTCTTGATTTCAACATAAATTAACCCACTCTTAAGCTCCTTAAAGTCCTCCCCCCAAATCCGCCATTGACTTCAGTTTGGTAAAACCTCCTAAGGAGGCCGCATCCCATCTTTGTTTAACCAAATTATCACACCTCTCATCTCTAGTCCAGACATCCTCGAACATGAAAACTAATTGTTTTAGTCTTTTCTCATCAACAAGATCTTCTCTAGCTCAATCTGAGGTGCCACATGGTATGAACCAAAATGAGACATGTGAGTAACCTTGATAGGATAAAACCTGTTGACACATGCAGCAGTTGCCATAGCTCTATCAAGTCGACATTGAATGTTATTTTCACCAGATCTCTCATTATTCCACGTAAAATGATACCCTTCGAACCCAAGGTCTTGCAAATCACATGAGTCAATTGCTTGTCTTCCCCAATAAAAGTGGCTATTCGATCTAGCAATCCCTCTAATCTTTTCATTCTCAGAAAAAAATGTCATTAAAATCACCAAAGCAAAGCCATTTACCATTACCCTCCTGCCAAAGTTGTTGCACCAGCATCCAGATGTTCTTTTTATTCTTCTCATCAGGAAACCCATATGCTCCAGAAAAACACCAAAGATGTTCCTCCTCATCATCCACCACTTAGCCACTAATATGATTGAGAGAGAAAGTGGATCGTAACTTTCAGACTATCATTCCATATTAAAGCAAGACCACCAGCCCTATCTCTGCCAGCACCCAAACAATCAACAAACAGACTATGACCAAAACCACATTTAAATTTAACAACTTACAACTCCTTCTCTTTAAGACAAGTCTCCATCAGAAATATCAAGGTGGGGTTTTCGATTCAGATGAGCCTCAGTAAGGCTTGAATTGCACGAGGGCTCTCCAACCTTCTACAGTTCCAACTCAGAAGTTTCACTGAGATAGGCAGTGTTGGGCATCCAACACCACCTCTGGTATCATCTTACCGTCAATATGCAAATCTGAGTCTTGGCGTCTCTTCTTCCCCAAACATCCTACCTTCTCCGAAGAAGCCTCCATGATCTTAACGTCCACCAATTTTCTCCTCTCTTTCTCAACTTCTAGCTTTTTAATTCTTTCATTTGTCGCTTTTTTTCCCCAATTTTTGACGACTTTATTTCTTCCTTTTGGTTTCTCTTTAATGAGAGTAATGCTCTTACTTACAGGAACATAAGTAGTTATAACTTTCCCCAAAGGTTTTGCTACGGTCTCAATCTCCAAGTCATTTTTCTTTGAAGCTTATGCAACCTCCAAGCGTCCTTCTGCCTTTTTACTTTCATCTCTCACTTGCACTACTTCATGTTCCCCTTTGTCCTCTTTATCCTTTGTTCCACATCTACTTTTGCCAGAGGAAATGTTGAAGAGGCTCCTACTATAAGTTCCAGAACTTATATCTTTTTTTGTTGTTCTTCAAAAACCTTTGGAAGGGGTGAAACCCTTAGCCACATACCATAAGACAATTTGTGTTCATCCACATCCTCGTAACCTTCATCACTTAGATCCCCTAGAGCTTCACAATCTTTTAGGTAATGCCCAAGCCTATCACAGACAAAGCAGAACATGTGGAGTCTTTCGTACTTAAAGAACACTCTATAGATTTTGTGTTTAAATCGAACCATTGCCCCTCTTTTAACGGCTTCTTCAAATCCACCATAATTTTAATATGAAGGAATCGACCGCACATGTGCTCATCCTTGGGGTTCATTTCTTCAAAGGTCCCCAAGATGCTCTCAATCTTTCTTGTCATCGCTTCTAATATGAGAATACTTGGAAGGTCATAGACTCTGACCCAAAATGAGTTGAAATGCATGTCTAAACCCGAAGGTTTCTCTTCTCCGGAAACTTGCTTTAATACCAGCAAATTCCTATCAAAGCTTCATGGGCTATTCTTCATCATCAATTACAGATCTTTCTTTAAAGAGAAACTGGAGAGGATTAAGTTCTTACTCAGCTCCTAAGTCTCTATAGGATTCTTCAATCTCCACGCTCCAACAACTGTACTTGTAAACGCATTCGAGTTGAAAGGATTCTATGTCTAGAGTTTCCCAGCTAGGGTTTGTTGGAAAACCTCCTCCTCACTCACTTCATCCACCGTCGTCGTCATGCCCCCTCTTCCTTCTTTGAGAGAGGAAAATGTTTCCATTTCTCCGTGTTCCTAAGGAAACACACCTAAGGCCACTCTTAGTTGAATCTTAACACCAAAGAAATCAAGAATCAAAACAAGTAGTCACCCTAAACCACTGAAAAGAAGGGAAAATTTGCAGATAACTGAAGAAAGGGACAGAAAAAGACTGGAAAGAAATCCAAAATCCTAGAAGGGAATGGGGCTAGACACGTTAACTTTTAGAGAGAGAGAGCGCATTATCTCTAGAAACACGTTGATCATTAATTACTTTAGTTAACTTTAATTGGTTAGCAGTTAATTAGAGATAATCAAGTGTATAATACTCCATCTGTTCTAAATTATAAGTTATTTTGCCAAAAATATTTGTCCTAAATTATAAACCACTTTATAATTTTAATATATCATTAATGACTTTTTATCTAATACTCATTCTCTATTATTTATTTCTATTTCTTCTTTCAATTTTTAAATTTTGTTTTCTAATATAATTATTAAATGACATTTTTGTAAAATTATACATTTTTTCACTTTCTTATAAAATATTATATTTCTTAATTAATGTGAAATGACAAAAATATTTTATAATTTAAGAGAATAACATTTGTAACTGTTTTTGTATTGGATTAACTTTCAATTCATAAACGAAGAAAACATTCTTTCTCACCTTTTCTTCTTTCTCATTAAATTTTGAGTGTAATTAGTTAGGCACACATATCCATATTTAAACCTACTAAAAATATCATCCTATAATATACCCATCCATGACCAATAATGCTTTAGGGATAACCCTCCATTCCATCTTAGAAAACGAACCACAAAATACAAATCACAAAATAAGAATAAGAGGGAACATGTGATATAAAGTAGTGGAACGCTCAATTGAAGGCCGTAACAGCACTCACATGGCATGGGTCCACCATGTTCATGAATCTAATGGCAATAACACCTCAACCAATCAGGTCCATGACAACCTGACAGACAAGTGCACATTGTACATAAAGAATCTTGCATATCATTCACAAAACTCTATACACAATAAATACGATACGTATACGGTATATAATACACATACGCGCGCTGTCCAAAGTACAGTACAATTATAAAAATCGTAGGGGACAAGGCAATAATGATAGCTGGAAAATTGTCATTATTATTATTCATGCACACGCTGGCAATAGACAAGTCACATTTTTTCTCCCATAGAAAACAAAAAGTGGGTCATATAAACATCTTATATATTATTTCTTGTCCCTAACGAATTTCCACCTAATTTCTCATTCATATATAATACACATATAAGAGAAGAAAAAAATACAAAAGAAATAGCACAAACACATAATAATAATAATAATAATAATAATAATAATAATAATAATAATAATAATAATAATATAATAATAATAATAATAGAACTCTTATTATTCCTATATTAGCCCCGATCTTACTCGAGCCAATTTGCTTCCTTGGAACGCCAATCAATGACCAACAACAAGAGGATTTTTGTCGGGATTTGATAACGAGGTTTTTAGCTTCTGTTCTTGCACTTTTCCACTGCCCTTGGTGCTGTAATTTACAAATTAACCATATTAATTTAAGATAAAATATTTGTCACTACAATTAATACTTAATTTTTGAAAAGTAATCTTACCTAGCCCAATTGCCTCAGAACCTTTCATTATGCGAAGACGCTTGCATGATTGAACAAACATTCTGAAATTTATAAAGATGAACATTAAATTAGTATCCGATGATTATGATTATTACACGAAATTTGAAGTGAAAAAGGATGGAAACTTACTCCCAAGGAACATCTCCAACAAGCATCCAATCACCATCTTTGTCTTCATAGGTTGGTACATAATCAGAGCCGTTCAAGAGGTCAATCAATTTGCTTTCATTCATAAAGTCTTTGGTGACTTGGGACCCACAGTTGTCAATTGTGAAAGAACTGAACATTTTAGCCAGCGCATCTGACAGCTCTTGGTAGCTCTTGTACAAGTTAAGGTCTACCTTACGTAGATAAGGTGCACCATCCATGCTCACCTTAACAAATGCTCCATTTCCAACACCACTTGTGTTTTTTTCTGCTTCTGATTCATTGTTGCTCTTTTGAACATTCACTATGTTCTTTCTGAATGATCTAACTGGTGGCCATCCCACAACTTGTGCCCTGAAAATTCAATAGTAATTTTTAATTAAATTATTAGAGAGAGAGACACACGCATAGAAAAGGACAGGGCGTGTGTGTGGACTATCATTTTCAACTTTTATATCCTTTGAGGGAATTCATAACTTTTTGAGTGGATAGAAAAAGTAAAGATTCCATGTGTCTTGTCTTTTTCCTTTGTCTACCCGACAACCAACCATGCCATCCGCAGAAGAAATCCAACTAAAATAATACTGCTTGCCAACCTATTCAGCCACCATTTAATATTTTATTTTTATTTTTAAAAAAATTTCTTGCACATAATCTGGATAACATTTTTCTTATTTTCTTTTCTCCTCCACCATCCCTCATTCATTTCTACTATTCTGTCTACCATACACTATTTCTATTTATAAGATTTTTTTTATATTTATTGAATAATCTGATATATTTAATTTAATAATAGACCAAAATCAAGTAAATTTCATTTAATAAATAAATTAAATTAAATTTTCTTATAAATAAGATCCAAAATCTAAAGTGAATTTCATTTTAGGATGACAAAAATTCATTTGTAATGAGTTGATTTTATTAAAGTTGTGAGTTAAATATAAAGTAATTTATATTTGAATAAATCTATATACAAAACAATTAAATAACTAAATTTGATGATAAAATTCTATTATAATTAAGAAAATTCAATCATAATTTGTAGTTAAAATCAAACTATGGAAAATTTTAATTCTATTGGAAAACAACACAGTTTAGGTATATAAAAGAATTGATTGTCATAAAATGAGTGGCTCAAACAGTTTTCTAATTCTAAGAATATGTTCAAAAGTAATCACAGTGCGCATATATGATATACAAACAAAGTTCAATTCCATGTAATTCAGCTTCTTTTTTTTTTTTTTTGCATAAATTCCATGTTCAACTCTTACCCAATCAATTTGCGAATATTTTTTCACTATCAAAAATTGAAAAATACCTTTAGAATACGGAACAAAAACCACTAAATTTGTCCTATATCGAAAATTTAAATCAAATTGTAAGCGTAAATTCAGCCGAAAGTTAAGGAACAAGAAATGTAATTGCAAATTGCAACCTTAACCTTTAATCATAAACAACCTTCTAACCGAATCAAAACTTCTATTATAAGCAACCTAATCAAAACTTGTTAATACACCTATCTTTCTATCTAACCTTTTCAACTAATCACTTCAATTCAATAGATCTATGAACAGTTTAAAACATTTAAAACTAAATTAACCTAGATTATCACTTAAGTAATTAAGAATTAGAAGTTCATAGTTATGCAGAGACTCAAAAGTTTTAAGCATGAGAGAATAGAAAAACTCACTTAGCGCGAGGAGGTGCGGTAACGGTTGTGGAGGTTTTCTCTTTGCCTTTGTTTGCAGTTCCGGAAGCTATAGTTGATGAAGATGAAGCAGAGTCATTAGTTGAAGAAAGATTAAGCTTCAAATCCATGTTAGCAGTTTCTGCAAAACCTCTCTTTCCGCAACTGCTTTTAACCGGTGAATCGGCGTGATCATTCACTGATCCACCGGGGAGACCGAGCCGCAACTCGGTCTCTTCGAAATTTATCATACTGTATTTGTCACGCTCAGCGTCTGCTACGCTAGTCATTTTCTCTTAACTTGTTAGTCAGAAAAAAAAACACACACACGAATGTTTATTTTTTATGAAAGATGAAAGCTGAGAGTTGAGTGTTTTGGAAATGAGAAAGTTTTTTTTTTGTGCGCTTAGAGGATGGTTTTGGTGATATATTGGTGAAAGGGTGTGGGAAACTAGATGGTTTGAGATATCGACACGTGTATGTGTTTTGAACGGTTCGATTTTGTCGGGAGAGTGACGTAATGAGTGATGTAATAATTATATGTATGATTATTGTTTTGGTAGTGGACATCATTATTTGGCCCTGCCCCTACTTGCCTGCCTTTTTCTTTGCTACCCACCAATTAACAATTCTCTCTTTCTTTAATTGATGGAACCAACCAATGAACCATCAATACCTATAATTAATATGTATAATTAAAGATGGAAATATGTTATGCTATAACAGAAGTTTACTACTTAGCCTATAAGGGTTACTATGGTATAATCTATGTAGGTTTAGGCTAGACAAAGCTGTTTTTTATAAATTTATTTAGTTAAAAAAATTACATTTCAGAAGACAAAAATTTTAAGACAAAAATTTTAAGTTTGATAGACCGGTTTATATAAATAAATATGAATAATTTTTTTATTATTATTATCTTATATTTTATACTTTAAATCAAAATACATAAATAAAACTTTGTTATTTTGGAGAACTTATGAAAATAAGATGAAAACATCTTATGAATAATATTATAAGTTGTTTTCACATGTCCTCTTAAATAAATAATCTCACAAAATTTATGATAATTGGTAAGTTAAAATAAATCAATGCAAACAAACTTTTAATTTCATTGATTTTTTTAGTTTGTTAGTCTATTTAAACATTATTTAAATTTTTTATTTACATATGTCTAAAATAATACGCTTTTATGTAAGCCAACAGCTAATCATGTCTCAGAAAAGGTCAGACTCAGACTTAAAAATAAGCCTACAACAGACTGTCAGACTCAAACTTCAATTTTTTTGACGGATCAAACTCGGCCCGGCGTATTTCCACCCCCTACCTATAATTTGTTACAATGTGATAGTATTTTTCCCATCAAGAAAAAAATGTTCTTTTCACTTCCTCTCTTAGAAGATTTCTACATATTTAATATTATATTTAATTCTTTATTATAAGAGATTTATTACATAAATTTATTGAATACTCAACATATTTAAATTAAATATTTATGAAAATATAATATTGTTT